TGACTTTATATGTATTTATTGGTTGTTTGAAGTATGGCTCACTACTTCAGTGAGTTTAATATGAATGTTATCTAATGTTCAATGTCTTTAGAAAGAGTTCATGTTTAAATGGATTGCAATTTATGGATTTACCTTATTTCTATGGATTTATTTTTTTACAACTCTATTTGTTTGATTGTAAGAACTATGAATATACCTATTGTAATGATTGTGAGCAATGAATTGTGAGTCCGAATTCGATGCTAGCCGAGTGTTAGGTTATACACACAGTTGTTGTTTCGTGCATGGGGACATGCACGACGTCAGGATGGTCGAGTGTTAGGTTTTAAAATTATATTAGTATTATTTTAGTCGATTATCGATTATTTGTAAGTTGAATGGTGACTTGGTCATCACTATTCCAAAACGAAAGTGACTTGGGGGTATTTCGGTGAAGGATTCGGCCTATTTGCTCGGGCTCAGCATCGAGGACGGACGCATAGTACGGTGTACCAAGGTAATTAATATTATATTATACAACAATCAATACGAGTTTTATTATACTTCTATGCGTGTAACATTATTTCGAATCATTGAGGATTCTCAAATAATTATAATGTCAAGGTCTTACTCCCTTCCGTTCATTGCACTCATATTGCACCATACTCGTAGCATGTACCGCTATACGGTAATGTCTATGGATTTATATAAAAACATAAATAATGCATAACGAACCTATACGTAATTAGAATTTTTATCCCATCATTATTAGTTGCAAGTTGCACTATTCAAAGAGAATATTTTATTACAATGTGATAATTATTAAAAAAAATCTCATATAATTCACGATGTAAGTCATTAGGAATATCTTTAAGGACTATTTTTGTTGGCTGGCTATTTCCATAATTCTATTCCTTGGCTCAGGGCTTTCACATAAATCCTCTAAGAGCATCCAGCGACTTAACTATCGTTCTTAGACTATTGTTGCAAACGATCAAACAGATTTGAACTCTAAGTGAGTGGGAAAGTCATTTTCCGCTAAGCTATTAGTAGGTTTAGCTAGTCATTGTCTAGCGATACTTCTAATCGCTAGACACGGTTCGAAGAAATGTACTTTTTTTATTTAAGCTCCAGTATAGAGCATTTTTGAATGGAATTTTCTCGAAGTTTCTATTTTAATTGAGATTGTGTACGTGTGTTTGCTAAGAATATATGCAGACACCTAATATGATACACAGGGTGCATATCTATATCGACTGAAGAAATGAACAAGTTTTTCGTAGGAATCTACATAAGTGATACCTTAATTATTTCTTATAAATTGGTTATTATTCTATGTGATCCTGACCTACTGTTGCCTAGTAATACCTACAAGCCTCATGCAGTATGATTCGTGCCCACGTTTCAGAAGATTACACACATGAACAGTTCATTATCTCTTATTAATTCATCCTTGAAACATCTATTTCCATGTTAACACATTATCAAAACAAATTTCTAGGACAATTTACAGATATAAAAACCGTTCTAGATGCGACAACTTTTACTTTTGTTCACGATCGGGTGATAGTTTGCAAAAAATTGTAGAGAAGTACGCTCAATGTGGCATTCTATTGTGAATAGTTAAGTGGGTATTAGAAGAAGCCTAGTTTAATACAATGAGAGGTTCGGGTCAGTGGGTGACACATCTAGAGCGGTGGTACCGTTAGCCGTGGTACGGGTACTCAGCTCGGCGCATACGCTGTATTGAGCTCTCTCTACTAATAATATTGTTTATGCACTTACCTGGCTGTTATTGACATGACTGGGATTAACGGCTTCTGTTAGATAGACATCTATTATTATAGGTGTTCGAATAGTTTGTTTTTTGCTTGATTTAATGTAAACGCTAACTTTAAAATATTATCATCTGTCATCGTTTAATGAATGTTCAACTGTATTGTTTTGCAATTAAGTTTTAAATTTAATTACAAGAATTTAAAAGTTTGTTAAATTGATTGTAGCTTGTGCAGGCTTTTGTATGTATGGATATAGAGATTTATTATTTACTTTGCAATAAATCTTTACGCATTACCTTGCATTTATCTCGTTTAAAATAGTTTGTCTCGAATTTACGAGTGAGAATGCAATACATCCTCATTGGCCGAGTGGTCGCAAGTGCGACTGCCGGGCAAGGGGTCTCGGGTTCGATTCCCGGGTCGGGCAAAGTATTACTGGGGTTTCTTAAAATCTCAGTAGTAGCACGGAGTCTGGAAATGTGCCCGGTATATGGCAATAGGCTCACCACCTATTACATGGGATTCATAACATAAATAGTGAAAAGTGGGTGTTACTTCTATGTGCACCTCTGCCTACCCCTTCGGGGATAAAAGGCGTGATGTTATGATGATGATGAATACAATACACTAAATAAACATCGCTATTGATAAAAATCCCGTTGGTTTTGTTTTAAACCAGAATAACTTGTATATTTCCATGTTTGACAATGAGTTATTGATTTTTGTTCGAGTAAATATAAAATTATTGCAGAAAATGTCAATGTCATGTAGTGTTCACCTTGTTTTGTATCATAATGTACTAAGTGGCAAAATTGTAAATAATCTCATAAAAGTTTTTTTTATTGCATAAGCCGGTAAACGAGAAGACGAATCACCTGATGGTAAGCAAAGCGTCGCTCATGGACACTTGGAACACCAGAGGCGTTACAAGTGCGTTACCGGCCTTTTGGGAATTAGGAAGGATCGTTGGGATTCAGCGATTGGGGTGATTGGGGAAGGGGAGGGTAATTGGGCCTCCGGTAACCTTACTCACGACGAAACACACGTCGGTTTTCTGTGAGGCCGTGGTATCACTCCGGTCGAGCCGGCCTATTCATGCCGAAGCATGGCTCTTCCACACTTAAAAGTTGATTAATATAAGTAGTTTCAAAGACCAAGACATGATAATCCTATCTTTGAAACGAGTCAAGGACTCAATGTTTACTTTTTGGCATAAGGTATTGTTATAGGACAGCCTGTATAGCCTGTATTACAGAGATTACACCCATCTATCAAGCGTAGACACATAAAAAGCCTGAACGAACATTTTAAATGACAAGACTTAACAACCATGTTGACAGCCTCAAACATGTAGGTAATAAAGATTACATTATTATGAGATTTATCTACACAATATTTCTTGAATTACATAGCATAAACATCCTGTACGTTGGTTCCTTTAAGGGTGTAAAGAGATCTTTGTATTTAACCCTTAAAGTGCCACTTCAGTCGGTACTTTACGCTAGTACTGATGCACGGTAGTTTGACTGTCATCATTTTAAACGTGGCAGTTAAAGTGTTAACTGACTTCAAAAAAAGAAGGAGGTTATTAGAAAACTATACTTTAAACTATGCTTATCTGTTATGTCACGTTTATTGTCATTTTCTTGTCATAAATTCTGTTTATCTTTAGTTTATTAAAAAACCAGTTGAAACGGTTTAACAGAAACTTAAGATATTGTAATAGCATTCATACGACACAGGAGAAAATCTTAACGTAAGGCAACAATTTTTTAATACAATAATTCTGAATTAACTAAAAATTGCGGGTTACTCACGTGAAAATACTATGCGAAGCTCTACTAGTTAATACAAAGAGTAGGCTGCGCGACGTCGCCGCGACCGCGCACGCTGCTTAAGAGGAAGAATCCCTCTGTGGTTCGTAACCAGTAGAGCTTTTCTCAGTATTTTCACTTGAGTAACTCGCGAATTTTAGTTAATTTAGTATGTCTTACGATAGTTATTATACTAATTCTGAAGGTAAGACTCCATATCTGGAGTTGCGGACGGCCTAGTAGGTTACCGGGGCTCCAGGTTGACGCAGAAGTAGGCACCGGGTGGTTTTTAGTCAGTAAAAGTTCAACACTCTCGCCTCATCAAAGGCAGGAGACGTTCATTGGGTGATTTTACCCTACAAAAAAAGACTCAACGTGTAATGCAATATTGTAATATAACATTTGTTTAATGATTATTTAAATTATTTTAGACGTGGTTGCAAAGTAGATCTAATCGTGAAGTTAATATCAGGAGGCAATCTGATACTTTAAATTTCCTACTCAAGGAAGAAATTCCTGTATTTATGTATATAAGAACATCGGAGATGGAATGTGGAACCGATTTGAATCTTATCCGTTATATCCTGCGTACTGGTAACAGTCGCACGATTTTCAACCATATTCATTTACAATTTAGTTGAAAATGTATTAAAGAGAGTACTTACAAATTGGTATACCTTGATGTGCGACGGAATATTGGCAACTGTACCCACCAGTTAGATAGTGCTTGACAATTAATTTACTTCGTAGATATGTATTATGAACCTGTTATGTGATAGGAGAACTGGTTAGAATTCTTATTATAAACTAGGTATTACCTACGACTTCGTACGCGTATCCCGTTTGCATTTTTTTTAAAACCTTTTTCTCTCAATAACAGACACATAAAAGAATTAAACAATGTAGTACCGTCGTTCTGAAGTTATGCGTGTACTTAGATTTCCATACATTTCGGCTATTCATTTTCATAAATTGTAAATCAAAAAACCTTTTTAAGTTTAGTGTCGTTTTGTAAAACATGACGTTTGTTTGTAAACATTCCGGGGAAGGTTAAACTTTATTAAGGTCTTGGTTTTTGACAAATCCCTTAAAAGGTTTAAAAATAAAATTTTAGTCGTAAATATCTTCTGCATTGAGTTTATTTAGTAACGTAACATCATACCTTTTATTGTCTACCTGAAAGAGTAGGTTAGCCTACTTATGATTTTACTGATTCTGGAATTGAATTAGAACTCCTTCAATTGAAATAAATGATTTTGACTTTGACTTTGACTTCGATATTCGTGGTTGCAATTACGACTACATGCATAAAGGTATAAGGTTATATTACCATTCCCAAAAGAAAATTCGAGTGATTATTTTTAAGGTTTACCTTTCATTACAATAAATATTAATTCGTGTTCTTATTTCTGTTGCCTTAAGGTTCAAAATGAGAGCGATACTGGCGACGTTGGCCGTCCTGGCGGTCTTTACGACTGCAATTGAAGGTAAGAACATTTTCTTCTTAAATAAATAGGAAATTAAGGACTGGAAAGCTATTTTCATATGTAGTTAGGGACGAAGTAAAAACAGTAAAACCTTATGGTTGACCCTACCACAAAGTCTATGGTGATAAGCTAGTTAACGTTGTTTTACAAAAATTGAGAGTGATTATAAACGTTGGTGTTGATTCATTAGCGAAACAACCTACCCCAATCTTCCATACCTCTTCAAATAATTTTCAACCTAAGGTCATTGTGATAAAGTTACCTATGAAATTGCCGTTCTGCAGAGTACTGCAGAACGGCCATTTCAAATCAAAATAATTTTACTTTGGCTTAGAATTATAATTTCATATATTAATTCCAACAGTAGTTATTTGTTTATTGATTAGTGTTATATTTTCATCGCATTTTAATTATTTTCGGCATCATGGATACGTTAAAAATTCAAGTACTTATGGAATACGAGTACTGTCGTGGCAGCATTTAGTATAAAATCACTTTAATATAGCAATAGTCAGTTAAATGAAACAGGATGATATTACGAAGGAATTAGTTCGTCGACGTTGTTGCATTTATAACGTAAAAAATACAGATGATATATGAACAAAATGTAACACGCGACTAGTCAATGGAAAGGCAATCTCCCAAAATAATCAACTGTCTACCCACACGATTTGAGGTGGCTTATCTGACAATAGAGCTGACGGCTTACCCATTGGTTATATCAGCCGACCGATGGATTAACGGGTTTCATAACAAAGGGTGAGACGACATAAATCAATCTCCTGGTTAACTGCGGACTAAGTTGGGGTTTAACCTCGGTTATCTTGTGTTGTGACTATCAGACAAACTTATCGCTTATCTATCTCTGTTGTGACAATAAACTGGAGAGATTTGTCTGAATGGATATTAAAGCGTTAGTAAGTTGTTGCCGGCATTTGGCCACTGTCTCGCCTGGTCCGTTTTTGTTAAGTTTCAGAAAAAATACTGTTGCAGAATTAGGTTTTTCTCGGTTTCAGGTTTAGGAATGTACAGAGATTTACGTTTTGTCTTTAACATCTTCACAATTCTCTTGACACTAATTAAGGGACGTCCTTGAAGAATTCCATCTACGAAATAAAAAAACGTAACAACTAGATCAGCTTTTTATAATCTTCTATTTTCTTTTTTATGTAGCGGACAGCAAAGCGCGCATAGTATGCTACTTCAGCAACTGGGCGGTGTACCGGCCTGGCGTGGGTCGTTATGGCATTGAAGACATCCCCGTGGACCTCTGCACTCATATCATCTACTCCTTCATTGGAGTCACTGAAAAGTCTAATGAAGTTCTTATTATTGATCCTGAGGTACGTTCATGTTCTTTTTCTAGAGAATGTCGATGCTATTTCCATTACAATGTATGTTATATTTGTGTAAAGATTAAGTACCCATTAGCAGTAAAGGAATCCCAATCTAACCAGCAGATTGAGCCGGTTACTTCCTTCATTCTCAACCACAATGTCTCCAAGATGTTTATTTATTGACAGTACATTAGATCGTGGTGATACCCATTACATTAATTAATATTTTATATCAAAGAGCAGAATTCATTAAGCGATAGATTTATTGGCATGTCTTGGGATTTGTTTCGATATGTGTAAGTAGTTTCCGAGGGCATTCGACGTACAGCAACCTACAATGGAAATGATTAGATTGTATCTGGATATATCTGTAGGGTCTTGGATTCAATTCCTATTTAGACGAAGCATTAGACAAAGTAGTTGTTTTTTGGAAAATTTCGCACTTATAACCCGCAATCTGGAATTGTGTGTATGCTAAGAAGCTTATTTCCTGTAACACGGTACTCAATACGTATCATAATTGACGAAAAATGAGTGTCACCAGTGTACTTCTGCCTACCTCTTTAGGTTCAATTTAATCAAATTGTAGGCGTGGCGGTGCGGCATTACTAACAATATAATGTTTACCTAAATTAATACTGTCTTTTGCAGTTGGACGTAGACAAGAATGGCTTCAGCAATTTCACAGCTCTTCGCAAGTCGCACCCTGATGTCAAGTTCACGGTAGCCGTCGGTGGTTGGGCCGAGGGGGGATCTAAATACTCACATATGGTCGCACAGAAACAAACGCGAATGGCCTTCGTTAGGAGCGTTGTTGGTGAGTAATAAAATGTTTAAACATAAATGAGTATTGGGGATAATAGAAGAAAATTTGATTTTGAAGAAAATTTGATTTTGTAGAAGATTTTGTATTTTGACCTGACACTAAAGTGCTAAAATAGGTGACTTAAACAATGTTTTTAACATGTTCAGGTAGTAAAGGGTAACATTTTACTTGTTATATTTATGTGGAAAAAATAGTAAAAGTGTTTCCCTAAACACAAAATAAGGATGTTTGTAAAACAAAATGTATCAAGTGTCGAGTCACAGTATCGTCGTAAATTATGCGCTGTTGTGTTGTGGCTACAAAATATATATTTCCTCATACGATGCGAACATTCCTTATTTTGTTGTTAACATAGTTTCGCAAAGATACTCCCACAAGGAAAATAAAAGAAATCACAAAACGTAGGAATTTGTTTGTGGAACGGATATTTCTGTAGACTACGAGAATTGCAACGAGCAAAACGTCTAAAACTATTAGGAAATATCTGTTTACAAAATGATCAAGAAATTGTGGTATTTATTGCGTGTTGACAACAATAAGGTAACTAAGTTAGCATTGCCATGGATCGATGGATTTGTACGCAATGGAAGTGGTTATACCTCAAGGGAGCTTTGAAATGATCCCAACAATTTTGTTCGTGTTAATATTGTTCTCTTAACTTTTACAGAGATTGTCTTTTTAAACAGCTAAGACGAAAATTATATCAAGGGAGGGCATTCAATCTATTTTTCAATTTTCGCGTTACATCTCCCTAAAGTAGGCAAACAAATAAATAATATCAATATTCCCGAATGTCGACTGTGTGTAAATATGATATTTGTCTTAATATCCATATCGCGATGTGGGAGATGGTTTCTTTAACTTGGAACATAATGCTTGTATTAAGTTACCGTTTTTCGTCTAGACATCTAAGTTTAGAAGTAAGATCTAGCTTTGAGTTCTTAATTAGTTTAGTGGGAGCGTCTGTTATCTTAAAGTAAAGGATATGAGGGTTTTAAACGTCTATTTAAAGACACTCTTTTCTAGACAATAAGACAAATTTAACAATGGTTTTGCTTTTATCTAATTGTTAATTTACAGTGCATGCTTTCTTCATTAAAAAAAAACCTGTTATTTTTTATAGATTTCTTGAAGAAATACGACTTTGATGGTTTGGACCTCGATTGGGAGTACCCTGGTGCTGCAGACCGTGGTGGTTCCTTCTCCGACAAGGATCGGTTCCTCTTCCTCGTCCAGGAACTCAGGAGAGCATTCATCAGGGAGAGGAGAGGCTGGGAACTGACTGCTGCCGTACCACTCGCCAACTTCAGGCTGATGGAAGGCTACCACGTGCCTGATCTTTGCCAGTAAGTGTATCTGTAACAAAAGTCTAAGTTCAAGTAATGTTTAGTTAATATAGACCAAAGATATGCCTACTATTAAATACATTTTCTTGTTCTAAAGTAAGAATGTCTAATAAGAAAAATAAACAAATTTGTGACACTTTTAAAAGTTTTAAAACCTTTGATTAATCGTTAGGTGTCCCAAAAATCCCCATTTCTTAACATTTCTCTAGATATTTTGCGAAGACGAAAATCTTGAAACAGTTTAATAGTTGGAAACAGTTTTATCGTTGCAAAGTTGGTGGGCGCTTCATAAATAACGCTCGGAACGAAGAAGAAACGAAAAGAGAACAAATATTGTTCTGGAGAAGTTTAGAAGTTTCTAGAAACTAAGATTTACGTGTGTTGCAGGGAGCTGGATGCTATACATGTGATGTCTTATGATCTGCGAGGAAACTGGGCTGGATTCGCTGATGTGCACTCGCCTTTGTACAAACGTCCCCATGACCAATGGGCTTACGAGAAACTCAATGTCGTAAGTATAACAAAAATGTTCAGTTACTTGTGTACATACATACTTAGAGCAATCCATTTTATAATCATGGATTTATTTGTCTAAAAATGGAAACAATATCTAATTACTTCTCTTTCTGTTGCTATTTGACAAACTTAACGTGTAATATTTTTTCCAGAACGATGGTTTAGCTCTCTGGGAAGAAAAGGGTTGTCCAAGCAACAAGCTGGTCATCGGTATCCCGTTCTATGGTCGCTCATTCACTCTGTCAGCTGGTAACAACAACTACGGTCTTGGTACTTATATCAACAAGGAGGCTGGAGGTGGTGACCCTGCTCCATACACCAACGCTACTGGATTCTGGGCTTACTACGAGGTAAATTAAAAAGACCTTTAATTACTAGGTCGTTTTAGTCGATTTTTGTTTTACACTCCTTGTAATGAACAATATCGTTCCTTCAGATCTGTACCGAAGTCGACAAAGAGGGCTCAGGATGGACCAAAAAGTGGGACGAACATGGCAAGTGCCCCTACGCCTACAAGGGAACTCAATGGGTTGGTTACGAAGACCCTCGCAGTGTGGAGATCAAGATGAACTGGATCAAGGAGAAGGGATACCTCGGCGCTATGACCTGGGCTATTGACATGGATGACTTCAAAGGTCTTTGTGGCGATGAAAACCCTCTAATCAACATTTTGCACAAACATATGAGCACTTACAACGTACCACCACCGCGCTCTGGAAACACTACTCCTACGGTAAGTTAGTCCCAAGAAGTCATATTAGTCAAGTCGTATAAAACTCCCAAACCACATTGTGGTACCTACTATTTTACTCAATATATTATTCACATTCGAATATTCGTAAGTAATACGTCACAATAAATTGTGACTCTTATCCTTTCGCTTTTGCTAACTGGAAACCATAAATACAATTGACTAATAAAGTTTCCCGACGTTTGAACGAAATAGACATGCGCGATTAATCGCAACAGAAACAAATGGATGGTCCATTACTCATATTGATATAAATCTCAGCCTGAATGGGCGCGCCCGCCGTCAACGACGTCCGACCCGTCGGAGGGAGAGCCAGTCGTGAGGCCGTCTACAACCACTAAGCGGCCTACGAAGCAGCCGACCACATCGAAACCTCCAGTCATTATTGAAGATGATGAAAATGATATTGCCGTGAGACCTGAACCACCAAAGGCTCCTGAGGCGCCAGTGGTCCCTGAATCTCCTGAAGTACCAGAATCACCAGCTGTAAGAATTTTTCATATAAAGAAATATTTATGTTTTAGAATACTTCTTTTTTTGAATTCGTTTTTAACAAATGTTTTTTTTTTGCAGGAGAATGAGATCGACGACCATGATGTCTGCAATTCCGAAGAAGACTATGTGCCTGATAAAAAGAAATGCAACAAGGTAAAGTAGAAACAAATAACATAAAAATATTTTGAAAGATGTGATTCACAAATGAGTCATTTAAATCAGCAATATCTTGCTTTTTACCACAGTACTGGCGCTGCGTCAACGGAAAGGGAATGCAATTCACCTGCCAACCAGGAACAATGTTCAACACGAAACTGAACGTTTGCGATTGGCCCGACAACGCTGACCGTCAAGACTGCGAGCTGTAGACTAATTGTGCGTGAATAGTGCGCTTTACTGGTCATTGCAGAGATACCATTTGATCGAAATCGCATTCTCCTTGCAAGACAGCTGATAAATTGTGTGGTGGAGCTGCGGGTTGCACACTTCAATCACTGGTGACTAGGGACGAATGTAGAGCCAAGATGGCCATCAATAAAGAAGCAATTAGCAAATGAGCATCTGTCACATCACATGAAGCCATACTGCAAATTGTTAGCTAACGTCTATAAATTCAACATCTGTTTTGCAAAACTCAATTTTGTTAGCTTTATAAAGCTACCATTATTTACCCTATTAACTCGAAGCTACAAAAATATTAGTCATCTGTATGGGAACACAAAAGGCCGCTAATAAACCTTTGTGTGGTCAGTCTGTTGGGTGGATTTTGATAAAATGGTATCTTTCCTTTACGCAATGAATCATAATAATGGTCGTATTTACGAAGTTTTAGGTTACTGAACAATATTGTCGTATTTTGTTATGAGGCAACATAATACGCCAATGTTTTCTTGTCTCTAGTTTGTAACTGGATAGGATTATTGTGATGTTAGGCTAGACATTTACGGTTGTAAATAATATGTTTGATTTTTAGATACGCGTTTAATTGGAAATATTTAAAAACAATTAAACGGTACTCTAGTAAGAAGAACAAAAATGAGATTATTAACGTAACACTGCCTAAAATCGTGTACAAGACTGCATCGCATCGATTAGATTAGAATTACTATTACTTAAGCAACGATATATGTTCATTGATATAAGCAAATATCTATCTATAAATGTCTCCGTAGGTATATTTATACAAACAGAATAAGGAATACTTTAAATAAGTCGTGAAACATGAATACTTTTATTTGTTCACTCTAGTTTGTTAAGAACTTGCAGTTTGCGTCGATAACTCCATTCAACAGTTATAAAGTTATGGCAGAAAATTGTGTTTATTTTATAAATTTTGTTTCGACGCGGAAGCCAATTAGACTTCTCCCGGCTTTGGAGATTTAAATGAATTTTCCAAGCACTTGTCGCGGCTGGTCGCTGGCTTAACCACCCTTATCTTAATTTATTTATTTTAATAATTTTAAGACAATAAATTATGGTAAAAATTTTACTGTGTTTTTGTTGTTTGTCCTTAAAAGTTTGGTGTTTTTGAATGAGTTATGGCGAGAATTGAATTATTGCGAGGTGTCCAGAAATGTTGATGTTTCGCAGTAGATAAGTACCTATATGCTGTGTACAATCCAAAAGAAGATATAGATAATAGGGTGAGGGCTGGAGAGTCAATTTAAAAGTTGTTTTTCGCTGAATCAAATAGGAAAGTTAGTATTGAGTTATCTTTAGGTAATATAATATGTTGTTGGGAATAGTCAACAGGCACTTCCTTATAGGTAAACTAACTGGTAAAAAGAAAGTATTATTTATAGATCACACACACCTACTTTCCTGCACCATTCTTCCAATTTCAACTGATTCAAACGATATTTTCTACTTAATAATATCACCTCAATATCTCATAGCACCACGGTAATCACTTTGGAACCTGACTTTGTTTTGTATCATATTGCTCGTATCAAAATATCAGGCGCTTTTTCTCTTAACGAAAACGTGTTCAGAAATCCAAAGAGGTCGTATGACAGTCATGTTTAGAGGTTAAATCACATAAAATTGTATATTTTTTCGAAAGGGTACATAAGTGAAAGGTTTTCGCACCCCTAAATATTATTTGGATACGTTTTCGTTTAGCTGGTGTTCGGAATATTTGTTTTTATTTTTTTCGGTAAGGTGCGGGGAGCATAACATTGCGATTAGCTTTAAGATAGACTTTTAAATGCCGAGCGCCTATTAAAATTTAATAGCAAGTCCAGATCATTCTAACCAGTAATAATCCTAATCTCACAGTGATAAGATATGTGTTCTAATAATTATTAATATCCAATTAAAATACTTAAATTTTCTTAGAAGTTGATTTTAACCAATATGTTACCGGAACGCGCGTATCATATTTCATTAGAGCTTAAATGAATGTCCTAAAAAGTAATTATAGGATAAATTATACGGCATGAAGTGTGGGGAGTTAATTGGAATCGGATGGTGCCGCCCGACAATTTACGTTCAACTCAAAATGATGAATGACTGCCAAATATTTTTGTTTAATTTGCTGTATAACTATTAATTACTTCATTCAAAGTTGAATCAGCAGAATCTGTGCTGAGCAGCCAATTATAATAAGTAAATGGATCCGTTTAATCAACGTTATTCTCGTTTCTATTCTGAATCTTAGACAATAATCTTCGCTTTATTTCTTGCTGTTTTATTTTATACCGGTATAATGATTTTATTTAGGAACAAAACGATGAATGATTCGTTTTCTTTTATTGGTAACGTTATTATGTGCATACCTATATTGCATATGCATTTATTATGGGAATAAATATGGTAAACAGTTTGGTTCAAGCTTAAAACATGTGCACTTTTAAACCTACCTAAACTTGACTTACACCTAATATACCATGATACCATAAAGTACTTAATTCGATGTGCTTTAATATTTTTAAACGAAATATATAATATATGTCAGTTAAACTAAAATCGATCTAATCAGATATTATAAAACACAGGCCCCTAAGATCTTAATATAAACACATGTTTACAAAAAGAAAGATGTCTGCCACGCGATTACATCTCCGAACACCCACAGCTTCAAAGTTTGAGGCCCGCTAAAGTGAACACAAATTATCAGCTCGTTAAGCATTAATTAATTCGCTACAAAGGTTCTCACGTTTTGTTATATTTCACGTATTATATTGTTATTATAACATTTGGTGAATTGATTATCATAATATCGAACTTCCTTATAGTAAACAATTTGTGTATGTATAATATATCGTATATTTGTATGTTTGTCGCGTGGGCGCTGGCTTTAATATAAGCATCTTATAAGTTTTCTCTTTTCGTCTTACTTTACGTCTATTTTTGTTGAATTCCTACCACTTTTGTTCGGTTTGAGGTTGTAAATGTGTGGGCTTGGTTTATTAACAAGAAATTACTTACATCCTTTCCAATAAAACGCCTCCAGTAATAGAATAAGACCTTTGTATGACTGCCGGCTGAGATTATAATGTCTTAACTTGGGTTTGAAGGTGCGTAGGCACATACTTATACTTCATAATATAGACTGTTGATGAAGCGAAAAAGGTATGTAGAATCATAGCAATTGGCGTTCAATGGTCTCTGCCTACCGCCATGAGAGACAGGCGTGAGGTTTGTAAGTACTTATGTATAACTTAACTAGCTAATCAAATAGGCACAAAATGTTCCATGTAGGTACATACAACAGTGAGTATAATTTGAAATATCCAAAATAATTTAGCCTTTCAGGAATAATTCATTAGGTAGGTAGGTAACAAGGTTCAAAATCAAAGAAATAAAAATGTGTAATGAAAGGTACTTAAAAGTGCCTGTACCTAAGCTTAACCTTTTTGGTATTAAAGCCTTATTTATTTTGCCAAGATACATTACACGTTTATGTTCGTTTTATGAAAAAACATTTATATATTGTAATTTCATTGAAGTTTATACACCTACTTAGCTGGTATCAATTACGCAGGGCCGGATTTTAGGTTTGAAGGCCCGGGGGCTGCTGAAAGTATTTCGGGAACAAAATTAATTGTCCCAAGTTTTTATTACGTAACTACGTAAAAGTGTGTCATGAATGTGTATTATTTTTTACTTAACTTTTTTAAGAAGCGTTTTAAGAGGCCTCGTAAGTAAAGGTTCATTTCTTGGGGGCCTCGAGGCAGTCTCCGCCCCTTATGGTGTCCCTTTAAAATGGTATAAATTATTTATATCTCTTTAAAAGAAAAACGGAAACATAATTTGTAGGTGCCTTGATATTATCATTCTTTGAAGTGTTAAACGAAGAAACCAGGTCAGAGTCCTACTTTCTTCTTGCTTTTGTGTATACCTGAATTGTGGATAAAAAAATGCAATAAAATATAAACATTCAAAAAAAATTAAACATTTTTCAGGCAATTTAAATATAAATAAAGAAAAAATAAAGTTCATTTGAAAAAATTGAACAAAATATTTGGGCTCGTCCGGGATTTGAACCCGGGACCTCTCGCACCCTAAGCGAAAATCATACCCCTAGACCAACGAGCCAGCTGTCAAAGAAGCTGAAATAGTGGTTCTAAACACGGTTAAGATTTGTTTAAAAAAGAAAGGCGTCTATGCGTGTAGTTTATGGTTCACTGTTACAAAATATATGAAAACTTCGAAATCTTGTGCGTTCGTAATAAAATCAGTTATATGGAATGAGGTACATAATATAGTAGAATAAATTTATTATAGCAACTACTTTCAATGAAATTATATAAGCTAGTTTGATAATTTAGTCGAGTGCTTTAGATTTTTATGTTGGCTCATTTCAAGACATTTATAAAAAAATCTTTGTGATATTATAGGTATCTACAAATAGATTCATAATGAATATTTTATTAGGATTTTCCTTAACAGACACTTTCAGCAGAGTCTTTCAAATATTACTTTCTTCTACATTTTATAAATATTCCAAAGGTGTTTAATAAAAATGTATTCTCTCATTATACTTGAGTTATAAATAAATCGTATTGTGGTCTATTTTTATAACAAGAAAGGGTGATGACGTCATAACATACCACGTGTTGATACCTCACATTGTTAGGCCGGATTTGATCAAGGAATATTAATAGGTTTTCTTAATAGTGTTCTACAATAGAATGACACAATGTTTTATTACTTAGAGGGATCTTGCAATGTAAATTATACTTTTTAGTTGTAGCTTATTGCCTAGTTGCCTGAAAACTTTGAAACTAACGCTCGAATACTGAAAGGCTACACAATTATAAGCTGGACTTAAATTAAATATCGTGCCATCTCTGTCATTTTACAAAGAACTTGTGGAGACAGAACTATACTTAAGTGCGACTTAAAATTGAGTAGTATTTCAGTA